ACGGACAGCGCCGAGCCTGAACGGAGGGCCGAAGGGCCGAGCCTACACGAACTGCTGACGGATGATGATGGACGGGGCCGAGTCTTGACGAACGGCTGTTAGAGCGCGCGGAGGGGCCGAGCCCGGACGGAGAGTGCCGAGCACTGACGAACAGCACTGAGGGGCTGACGGACGGCGCCGAGCCTGAACGAAGGGCCGAGGGGCCGAGCTTACACGAGCTGCTGACGGATGATGATGGACGGGGCCGAGTCTTGACGAACGGCTGTTATAGCGCGCGGAGGGGCCGAGCCCAGACGGAGACTGCCGAGCAGTGACGGACAGCACTGAGAGTCTGACGGACGGTACCGAGACTGAACGAAGGGCTAACGGAGCGTACCGAAGGGCCGAGCCCAGATGGAGAGTGTCGAACAGTGATGCACAGCATTCCGGGGCTGACGAACAGCACCGAGCCCAAACGAAGGGCTGACGGAGGGTGCTGAGCAGGGACGAAGAGAGCTGAGCCTGGACGGAGAGTGCCGAGCAGTGACGTACAGCACTGAGGGGGCTGCCGGACAGCGCCGAGCCCGGACGAAGGGCTGACAGATGGTGCCGAGGGGCCAAGCCCGGACGGAGGGTGCCGGGCAGGGACAGACAGCAGTGAGGGGTGACGGACAGCACTGAGCTTGAACAAAGGGCTGACGGAGGGCACCGAGCAGTGACGGACAGCAGTGAGCTTGAATGAAGGACTGACGGAGGGCGCCGGGGGGCCAAAGTAGGAGATCGAGTTATTTCGAGGGGGACGAGTGGCAGCGACAGACATTGACGGGAGGGGGCGGAGACGGACGACAGGTGCGGAAGCTGGTGATGGGAGACGGCTGAATGCCGAGCGAGCAACGGAAGCGCGAGTGCATCCGGGGAGAGGCCACCCCGGAAAGAGGCGCAAGGAGAGACGTGATGGAGGAGGAGATGTGACGGGGGCTCGGGACTGTGCTGCAGCTGCTCCGGGAAAACCCTGCTCGGTGCTCTCCCCGCGGTGCTCCCCCCTCCCGAACACCCGCACACTCGGTGCTCCCGGCTCCCGGACACCTGCAGGGGAGGCGTGCTCCTGCATTCTCGGTGCTCCCGGACACCTGCAGCGGAAGCGCGCTCCTGCACGCTCGGTGCTCCAGGCTCCCGGACACCTGCAGGGGAGGCGCGCTCCTGCATTCTCCGTGCTCCCGGCTCCCGGACACCTGCAGGGGAGGCGCGCTCCTGCACGCTCGGTGCTCCCAGACACCTGCAGGGGAGGCGCGCTCCTGCACGCTCGGTGCTCCCAGACACCTGCAGGGGAGGCGCGCTCCTGCAAGCTCGGTGCTCCCGGACACCTGCAGGGGAGGTGCGCTCCTGCACGCTTGGTGCTCCCGGCTCCCATACACCTGCAGGGGCGGCGCGCTCCTGCTGACTCGGAGCTTCTGTTGGAAAGCCCACCTACGTGCGGGCTAACACCTGCAGCCGCCATCCTCTGTTAGCATTGCTCATTCACAGCGGGTGCCCCCACATCCCTGAGAGTCAGAATATACTTGTGCCATCTCTCTGGAAACGCGAATTTTCCTAAGTGTTTACCCTAAGGGCCTCCACGTAGTACCCCCAAAATAGCCCTGATTCGTCTATCCCGCAGGCGTCCTAGCAGAGGGAGGAAGAGTGGGACACTGAGTCCCAGAAATCCTGTACCTGCAGGCTAGAGTTCTCCCCAATCCTTGCCAGAGGTCTCACTGCACCTGGGAAAGCAGTGCACACGTGCTGGTTATGTTAGGGGACTTGGAAGCAGGCTGTGTGCAAAGTGCTGGCCTGGCGGAGGGTGGACCAGAGGCTGGGCTCTGCTGGGGAGCTAAAGCCCACGGCCCCTGAGCCCTGCCTGTTAGCTGCAGGAGCAGAGGCCCTTCCTTCTGGGAAGCAAGCAGTTACCACCTCCAAAGCCATAACCATGGAGCTCACAGCACATTCAGCCTGTGTGGGGATTGCCGAGTCTGCAGGCAGAGCTCCTGCTGCATGTGGGGATTGCACCATCCACGGGCAGAGCTCCTGCTGCAGCTAATTCCTCCATGATGGCAAATACAGCTCTGTTTCAGCCCCGCACATTGAAAACAGAGTGCCCACCCACCCTGACTAGACAACAGGGGGGCTGAGCTCAGGGACCTGAGGTTTCTGGATCGATGACAAAGCTTCAGTGACAGTTCCTATCTGTGGGTCTGAGCTGTTCCTTCAGGGCGACAATCACCTGCACAGGGTCTGCATATAACCGTCATACCCCGACCGGAATTTCTTCATTGCCCGGCGACTCCAATATGACTTTTCTCCTCTCCCCCAGACAGATGCATCTATCCAACCACAGAATCAAGATCTGGACTTAAGAGCAAACCTAGGCTCCAAGGACTGATCTCTGCTGCTCTCCATACCCTAGTTGCTGAGCCCCAATACTCGGGACTGTCCTGCGCTCCCCACTTTCCTTGTGCCCAGTAACATCTGTGACGTGTACACAACCAAAGGCTATCACCAGTCCCCACGCTAATTCCCACATATGGCACAGCCCGGCCCCAAGCCCCAGTCTCGGGCCTGATTCCTGCATAGAGCCCAGATGAGGCTCCCGGCCACATGGCGCATCTCACATCCAGCCCCAGGGGGATCTTTCCAGGCACAAAAGAGACCACTTGTGACTCCACCCAAAGGTGCCCTGTGCTTGCTAAAGTGTCTTTTGGGAGAGGCGCCTGTTGCTGAGAGCCCCAGACACCCTCACTGAGGCTCTGTCCGCTCCTGCCTTTCCTGACAATGAGCACTTGTGTTGTGCCGGGCACATGGACACCCCAGGGGTCAGCTGATACAGCTGATACCCCAGGAGGGGGCTGGCTCCTTTGCTGCTTCATCAAAGAGCTCAAAGACTGATCCCCAGCTGAGATACAAACAGTGCATGTGTGCTGTTTCCTTTGGCCATTGCCTCACCCCCGTGGGACTTGGGGGAAGGAAGGACCAAGGCACATGTTAGTTCCTAAGCAGGATATTATGGGGTACACCGTGCTCCCCAAAATCCATATGTTGAAATCCTCAACCCCAGCACCTCAGAACAGGACTGTAGTTGGAGATGGGGTCTTAAAAGAGGTGGTTAAGGTGAAATGAAATTAGGGTGGACCCTTATCTGATACCACCGGGGTCCTTATAAGAAGACGGGATGAGGACACAGACATGCACAGAGGGTCGACCATGTGAGGACACAGGGAGAACCCAGGGTCTACACACCCAGGAGAGAAGCCTCAGGAGGAACCAGCCCTGCCCACACCTGCATTTTGCACATCTATCCTCCAGAACCCTGAGAAATGAATGCCTATTGTCTAAACCAGCCAGTCTGGGTTATTTGTTATGGTCGCGGGAACATGCCATGAAAAAAATCAGGTCTCAGACCCGACAGAACCTGCTGCCTATTGACCTTGTGCATGAGTTACCGGGACCCCAGGTACAGGATCGTTGAGGGGAGCAGGGCTCTGGCTCCCTTCCCTCCTGGTTTGCACGCAGCAGGTGCCCGATGCCGTGAGCACCTTCTGTGTAGCTAGCACTCTGTGTCAGTGGTCACACCGGCCGTCACAGCAATCCTTGGACTGGGACATTCATATACACACTTTGTTCATGGTGTGGCAATGGAGGCCCCAAGGGGTGACGTGGATACCCTGCATCACAGGCTGGTAAGTGGCCAAGCCAGAGTCCCAACCATGTCTCCATGCTGATTCTCAAACCCCTCCCCCATCAGCAGGTGAAGGGGAATGGATTTCAGCCCTTGAGCAGGGAAAATCTTGTTCTCCCAGGTAGGCAGTGCCATCAGGATGTGGTGCTAGCTTCCGGACCCATTCCAAAGTGAAGAACTGGGGAAAGCATCGTGTGCAAGCTGCACCGACTTCTCAGCCTTGTTGGACTGTGCCGCCCAGTCCCCAGGGCGCCCTCACCTTGGCGGGGTCTCAGGCCCGGCTGCCCTTCCAACCCTGTGCTCTGGATTGTCATCCAAGTTCATTCGCTGGAAACTCCCTTTCCCGCTGCCCAAGCCCCAGGAGCAGATTCCTGCTCTGTAGCCACCAAGACATCCAGACTCATCCTGGATCTAAGTGCAAGAGTGTGCTCTGCCCTGAGTGGCCACTATCCCTTCTGACCAGCCTCGGGGTGCCTGGTCCCTGACTAGGAATCTCCCTTTGGGGAGGCAGACCCGAAGTGGCCCCTGGGGCCTGTCAGCATCTTCTGGCCTCACCAAGCTCTGGTTCGTGGTAGACACAGCATGGGCCCTTCCCTTCCACGCATCCATGATTATGGCGGATTTGCTTGTTCGTATTGTTCAAATGATGTGAACATGGCTGTTCTACTCACAGCTTCCTGGGGAGGAAGAGGGAGGAATCAGCAAAGCGACCAATGCATCAGCAGCCTCACTCCCACTCACTGAAACCGCTCTCCTTACAGCTGCGTTCACCTGAGCGCAGGTCTCAAAGTGTTACAAGCACCCTGACTGTGCACCGAGGGGTGACTGCACTCAGTGGGGGCACAGACACGACAGTGCGTACCCCACGACACCTGCGTCTGCCAAGCCCAGCCCCACAGCAACTGCATTAGTTCAGTTGTTTAATGACACACAAAAGCTTCCAATACACAGGTATGTTTTAAACAAGCCATAGGGATGCCTGGGTGGCTCAGTCATTAAGCGTCTGCCTTCGGCTCGGGTCGTGGTCCCAGGGTCCTGGGGTCAAGCCCCGCATCGGGCTCCCTGCTCAGCGGGGAGCCTGCTTCTCCCTCTCCCGCTCCCCGTGCTTCTGTTCCCTCTCTCACTGTCTGTCAAATAAATAAAATATTTTTAAAAATTTAAAAATTTAAAAAATTAAAAAGCAATAGAAGAGATTTGGGGCATACCACCACCACATTCATGTTCAAAGCACCCATCCACATTCCCACAACATGGTGTTATTCTTGCCGATTTTCTCTGTGCATGTGCATCTCTAGACCAAACCACACAACTCTGCTGTGGCCACCTCCATAGCATAGCAAGCCATGCGAGCCACCTCCTCTAGGATTTCCAGAACACGGCAACATCAGAGTCCATACGAATGTGTAATTCACCTAGTGTAGGGACCCAGAGACTATGCATGAGCATCCTGGCAACCCCACTGTGGTCCCCCGGCAACCCCACCATGGCAGAGCCTCCCCGCCAGGCCCCGTTCTCGGTTCTTTTTCCCGCCCATGTCTACCCTGCCCTTCCCAGTCTACCCTCGTCTGGCAGTGTGGGTGCCTCGGCTCAAGATGTTACCAGGGGGACGTAGCGGGATGGAGGAGGGTCTTAGGACAAGGGGTCTGGCTCCTGCAGCCCCACTCCCTGCTGGCAGGGACCCTCCACCCACGAGGAGGAAAGAGAAACCAAATGGACAGAGCCTGGGCCCCTGAGACCCACTGGCCTTGGACTCACATGACGAACACGTGGCCTGAATCTTTCAGCCCTGGTGTGCGGGGACGCCCCAGCCACGTGGCAGTAACAGACTGTTGCCCTAAAATCAAAGGAGCTTTGCCAACCCCTCCAAGACTCTTACAAAAAAATAAGACTTTGTAAGACTTTTCCGTAGCCAGAGCCCATGCTGAAATCAGAACCTTGCGGAGCATCACTCAGGTAAATGGGGCTTGAAAGCAGGGACCCCTTTGAAAGGATCGCCTGGAGTTCAGGTCCCGCCCACCTCTGCTTTCCCGGCTGAGGGGCACAAGTTTCCTTGACAACCCTCACAAACCTGCTCCGTTCCCTTGGCAACCAACTTTCTGAATTGCCCAAACCTTCCCTGTTTGCAGCATTCCTGTTGCAGTCTCGCGGAGCCTAAAGGAACACTGCTGTTACTATGTGTCAGCAAATCCATGACTCTCAACCTGCAATTATCAGTTACATGAGGTTATTTTTTTTTTAAGATTTTATTTATTTATTTGACAGAGAGAGACACAGCGAGAGAAGGAACACAAGCAGGGGGAGTGGGAGAGGGAGAAGTAGGCTTCCCGCGGAGCAGGGAGCCCGATGCAGGGCTCGATCCCAGGACCCTGGGATCATGACCTGAGCCGAAGGCAGACGCTTAACTGACTGAGCCACCCAGGTGCCCCTACATGAGCTTATTAATCAAAAAATTCCACAAGAACCAGCTTTCCAGGGTGACTCATTCTGTACTTGGCACCCATGGGAAGGATGCTGTAACTGTTCTCATGGTGGATGAACCCCCTTTCTGACGGAGCCAGGCCTTGGGTCCCTCTCATCTCAGCTGCTTTGAGTGTCCCCGTACCCTCATGCCCACAATATTGCTCTCAGCACCAGGTCATGGAAGACCTTACTCATCTCCTAGGATGAAAGGGTTATTTTATACACAAATAGTGGGCTGAATGGTGGCCCCCAAAAGATGTGTCCCCCAGAACATGTGAAAGTGACCTTATTTGGGAAAGGGTTCTTTGCAGATACAACAAATGAAGGACTTTGAGCTGACACCATCCTGGATGAGCATGGCCCGACATCCAACAACAACTGTCCTTACAAGAGACAGAAGAAGAGAGACACATACACAGAGGAGAAGTCACGTAAAGACGGAGAAGGAGATGGGAGGGATGCGGCCACCAGCCTAGGGACACCTTCCAGCCCCGGAAGCTGGAACAGGCAGGAAGGACCTGGAGCCTCTGGAGGGAGCACGGCCCTGCCCTGCCTGGATCTCAGACTTCTGGTCTCCAGAACTGGAAGAGGATAGATTTCTGTAGTTGTAAGCCATCCAGTTTAGTTAGTTATTGCAGCCATAGGAAACTAATTCCCATAGAAAGAGTGCTCTCTCCTTCACTTTGCTCTGATCCAGGATAAAACTAATATAAAATGCTAACATTTGAGCATTGTGAATGGATGATATGTAAGAATTCTTTGTACCATGTTATGGCTTTTTGAAAGTTTGTCATTGAGTTAAAATAAACATTAACAGGGACACCTAGTGTGGCTCAGTAATTAAGTGTCTGCCTTCGGCTCAGGTCATGATCTCACGGTCCTGGGATTGAGTCCCATATCAGGCTCCCTGATCAGTGGGAAGCCTGCTTCTCCCTCTCCCACTCCCCCTGCTTCTGTTCCCTCTCTCTCTGTGTCTCTCTGTCAAATAAATAAATAAAATCTTTTAAAAAATAAATATAAAAAAAATAAATTTTTATTTTATAAAAATAAAAAAAATAAACATAAATGAAAATTCTCAGGAAAAGTCTATGTTTATGCTTGATCCGGGACATTCTGTGCTCACTGATAAGTCCATGCCTTTACTTTCAGATGAATGTGATGGACTTGGGGCCGTAACACCTGCTCTTCATCTCAGGTTATTATAAGGGCAAATAAGCACAAGCAGCAAAAGCAAAAATACACAAATGGGACTACACACTTAAAATCTTCTGCACAAAGGAATCCATAGAGTGAAAAGGAGACCTATAGGAGAAAATAATTGCAAATCCTATTTCTGATAAGGGGTTGATATTCAGAATATACAAAGAACTCCTACAACTCAACAATGAAAACAAGTGACCTACTTGATAGGTAGACCTGAATGGACATTTCTCCAAAGAGACACACAGATGGCCAATGGATATATGATGAAAATATGCTCAGCATCTCTAATTGTTAGAGAAATGCACACTGGAAGCACAATGAAATACCACCTCACACCCATTAGGATGGCCACTATCAAAAAAGAGGAAACAACCAGCATTGGTGAGTGTGTGGAGAGATTGAAAGCCTTGTCCTGTGCTGGTAGGAATGCAAACTGGTGCAGCCACTCTGGAGAACAGCATGGATGTTCCTCAGAAAACTAAAAACAGACCTATCATCTGACCCAGCGATCTTGCTTCTGAACACATTTCCAAAAGAACTGAAAGCAGGATCTCAGGAGCACCTGGCTGCCTCACTTGGTGGAGCATGCAATTCTTGATCTTGGGGTTGTGAATTTGAACCCCACATTGGGTGTAGAGATTTTTAGAAAAGTAAAAATCCTGGGCACCTGGGTGGCTCAGTTGGTTAAACATTCAACTCTGGATTTCAGCTCAGGTCATGCTCTCTTAAAAAAAAAAAAAAAAGCCAGCAGGATCTCAAAGAGATATCTGAACACCCATGTTCACTGCAACATTATTCACAATAGGCAAGAGATGGGAACAGCCCACATGTCCTGGATAGAGGAATGGATAAAGAAAATGTGGTATATACATACAACGAAATATTATTCAGTCTTAAAAAAAAAAAAGAAAAGGAAAGAAAGAAATCCTGTCCTCTTACAACATGAATGACCCTTGAGGATATTATGAGTGAATTAAGGGAGTCACAAAAGGACAAACACCATATGATTCCACTTATATGAAGTGTCTAGAGGAGTCAAATTCATGGAAGTGAAATGCCAGGGGCTGGGAAGAGGGGTTGGGAGTGGTTCAATGGGTCTAGAGTCTCCGTGTTGCAACATGAAGTTCTAGAGATCTGTTGCACAAAACAGAATATAGTTACTATGGAACTGCATGCTTAAAAATTAAGAGGCTAAATTCTCTATTCTGTGTTTTCTGCTACAATTAAAAATAGGGTTTTAAAAATATTTTTTAATATTTTTATAAGATGTTTAAGTAAACTCTACACCCAACATGGGGCTCAAACTCACAACCTGAGATCAAGAGTCGCATGCTCTCCTGACTGAGCCAGATGGGTGCCCCCAAACTAGTTTAAAGGCCAGGTTAGCATTATACTTTTTTAATATAGAAACTTTATTTTTTAATTTTCTTTTCTTTTTTTTTAAGATTTTGAGATAGAGCATGAGCAGAGGGAGAGGGAAAAGCAGACTCTCCGATGAGCAT